TCGACTTTGCCGCCGGGGCGGCAGCCGGTGAAATTCCGGAAGGCGTCCCAGAGGTTGCGAGTGGTATTCAGGAGACGGGACGGCGGTATGCCGGTGACGTTGGGGAAGAAGAATTCGGCGGAGGCCGGAGAAACAACCAATGGAATCAAGAAAAACCCGAAAATGAAAACCCTCATGGCGGTTTTCGGATTAGAGTCCTCTCCCAAAGAAAGAGGAATTAACCCCACAACAAAAAGAGAGAAAAAAAGATTGGAGAGAGAATTAAAAACCAAGATTGGAGAGAGAGAGAGAGGCTAAAAACAGAAGGAAGGAACCGTTGAAACGGGGTTTAAAAAGGACTTTAAACAAGTGCGTTGACGTTGGCGTTTTGTGTTGGCGGGTGAGGGGTCGTTGTGAATTGCTTTGCGTGTTAGGAATTTTCTTAGTTTTATTTAATAAGATTAAGATGCAAGAAAATTCACATTTATTTGAATTTCCATAGAAACATCCTCGTCTTGGGCACGTTCAAACTCAACTAGAGAACTTCTAGATTTTTTTTATATATAAAAAGGTCGTCGTTGCCATGCATGGAATAGAGTCGTTTCGTTCTTTCATTTCCTTTTGGGATAATGGAACGATGTTCGTGGTTGGTGGGAGGCTTCTGTTTCGTTTTTATATATAATATACAGAACAAACTGCAAAATAATTTTCTCTCTGTTGGCATGTTTGAATGAAAGAAGAGGGGAGGCGGCGAGGTCAAACGAAGGCGTTGAACAAGTTGCAGATGTCTAATCGGTCTTTTCTCTAGCGGGAAAAGTCGTCTTGTGTTCTCCATATGACACGTGTCCCTTTGTGGTTGGTATTGGTGGGTTCGGCACCTAATCCTACGTGGCCAAATTACTCGAAGCATTACCTTTATTCCTTCCCTTTTTAATTTCTATTGAAATTCTCTCTCTCTCTATATATATATGTGTAGAACATTACGAGGAGAGCCCCGGATATCCATTCGGCATATTAGAAATTTAATAACTATGGTCTCGTTGCATAAACTCATCAGATAAAATTATGTACAAAATCTTCCAGAAATTGAAAATGTATGACTCGGTGACCCAACACAAAAAAAAAGAAACGAAAGTGAATAAGATGAACACGAATGCATTTACGCAATGTAGTGAAGAAACTCTAATAAGCCGACCTACCAAAACATTTGAATAACGAGGCAAATTATTTAAAAACCTCGTCCGCGGGCTTAATGTATTTAAAAACATATAAATTTCTATGCAAATGTATAAGATATAAATTTGTACAAATTCGTACGTATGCATGCATGCATATATTCGTATATTGCACAATTATTATAAAATGTTGACGGGAAATGCAGAAGAGGGGGAGGAATTTTGGATTTTGTGGGACACGTAATCTCTGGGATCAAAGCTTCGCCGATTCTGACCATCACAGCCCAAAAATCTCATATGCCACTGAAGACAATCGGATCACTGCTCATGGCTCCAACTTCTACGCATGAATTAAAGTTTGAACATTTATCGACAAAAATTTAAAACCTTTTGATGGATTGTTCCCGTGAAAGTGAAAGAAGAAGCTGTTTCTTATTTATTTTTTAAAAAATTCTAGACAGAAAAAAATCAGAAATGCGAAATTGAACTTTTTTTTGGTTATAAATAATCTCTGCTAACGTAAAAACCAAAATGAGTGGAAACGAAGAATCTATGCGGCCGACCCTAAATAAACTTGGGACTAAGGCGATGTTGATGTATAAATAATCTCACTCAATGACCATTTTTTTTTTCACATTCCGAAGATGAAGCAGTTTGAGTAACAAGGGAGAAGAAGAGGACCACCTTCCACTGCCAATGGCTGTCTGAACGGATTTATTTGAATCTGCATGTTTATGGAAATCACACACACATAAATTAGTTCTACTAATTCTCCGAACGTACGTTTTTTAAGAGAAAACATAAACAAAAAAAGGGTTCATTTTTCTTTTAATTTTCATGGCAAATCTTCAATCGCATCAGGTAATGCGAATCGCCATTGTCCAATAAAAAACAAAAGCCAGTGGTTTACCGGTAATGATAGAGGTTTCCCGGTGACGGTTTTTACGCAACAGGCCGCGAGATGACAAGCTTCTTCGCAGTAATCCGAAAACACGGCCGGGACATTCATCTCCGTGATCAGTTCCTGAAAACAAATGAATTACCTCATAAGAAAGAAACGTATAGCGACAACAAAGGACTTTGCTGGGGAAATATCAAATGGGATATGGCAGTGGATTAGTGGAAACACACAATAGTTGGCAACCAGCTCGGATAAGCAGCAATGCCGGCATTTGGAGCGATCACTATATGAGGACGAGAATCCTGACCCCAACAAGACGGCAAATCATAAAAGAGAAACCCAATAATTAGAACAGGTTAGGGCCAAGGGAAGAAGATATAATATAACATACGATGTGTAATATTAATAGTGGTTTCGTGTTTTGCTTATAGGCGTGTGTAGTGTAGAGAGTTAGTTACCTTTGCTAAATCTTTGTAACGATCATGATAAAATCCCCTATGAAGCCGCAATGACACAGGTTCAGATTCTTCATTGTTTTTTAGCATTTCGCCTGAATATTTACAACAGCAGTTTTCCTCCACGCAAGGGGCAAAGCTGCAAAGGCTGATCTTCTCTCCATCCCTTTCCACACAGAGCGCAGTAGAAAAGCGATCCATTAGATAACAACAATTCACATGAAGAAAAAACAGTAATAGGAATGC